CTACCAAATCCAGCAGCTTTCCAAATTATCGATCGTTGGATGTACATGCAAGCATTGACCCTAAGAGAATATGTTTCGATTGCGGGTACTCGCCTAGTTGCCATTGCTGCTTTTGATTCAATTAGGTATGTGACCAGAAAGATCAGTTCGACAATATCTAGGCCGGCAATGCTCCATATCTGGACCACGGTTCGCAATTTTTTCTTAAAGCTTGCGTTATCTCTTCACTGCAAATTTTGGCCTCTTATTGGACCTGACGTTTAATAACAAGCCAACACCGTGGGCGAAGGTCTGCTTTATCGAACGGAGCTCACAGTAACACAGTCGCGTGTCTGTAGATTGACTACCTAAGGGGGATAGAATGACTGCCACCTTTTTTATGTACATTGTCACCAAGCCGAAACTCCTCGCTTCCAAACCAGCATCTGACGACAAGCGTGATAAAAGTTAGTGCTATTCACGGTGCTCGTTTCCATATGACGCTTCTCTTTGCTATGTCCAATAACTGCAGGCTCTCTCTAGAACCGGGTGAAGGGAAGCCTATCAACCAAGTCAGTCTTCACGTCCAAAGCCACGGAGCACCAAGTACATGAAGCGAACAAAATGTACGTACCATTTGCCCTTGAGGGTGATGACAACCCACGGGCTCCCAGCCTCGTCAATCTCCTTTTCGACCTTGGTGTTGAAACAAATCGCACTCATGATGCCGTCGCCAAACTTCTCGTTCATGACGGCCTTGTAGGCGTACCCGTAATTTTGCACAATCTCGTACAGGCGGTAGATGAGCGGCTCAACAGGCGGCATGGGCCCGGCTCGGCCGCGGTCGGGGTAGTTGTTTAGCTGCTTCAGGTTTGCGGCCTGGATTCCGAGGAGCTCAGACAGCTTCTGGACGTCCTCTTCCGAGGCCTGGACCTGACCGTAAAAGATGCCCGCAATGGCAACTTCACTGCGACCGAGATGCTTGGCGATTTCCTCAAACGTGAGCCCAGCCGACGCCTTGGCGTCAAAGAGGACCTGGGAATGAGGCGGGAGACGGTCCGCCATGGATGGCTGTTTGGCTCTTAGTTAGTGATTGAGGGGCTTCGTCGCCGTTGGGATTCAATATCCTCATGACTCCGTTACTCACATCGAGACTTGCGAGCTGTCCAGACATTATGAAAGACAGGCTGAAGTGTTGGTAGTGGGATCAAGTGTGATGAAACAAATGCCAAGGATAGAGTTCGGAAGAGAGTTCGTCTAATCGAGATACGATGCGATGAGATGAGATGAGTTGAGATAGGGCAAGATGTCTACTCTGAGTCTTTGTATGTGCAACGATGTACGATTGAATCAAAGGAGGAAATGTTGACGAACACCTGCCTTAAATCTTCAAGACGTGGTATTGCGGGCGGGTATTTCATCCGGACGTCATGCATTCAGATCGTCCATGGACATTGCGGGGTCGTGAGCTAAGAGAAACATCAGTCTAAGTTGCGTCGTCCTGTTCGCTGTTGCCGAGGCCTTCCCGCCGGAGAAAACACGGTATCTCGGCTTCAAAGGCAAAAACCGATGCACCATAAATCGCCTGCGAATCCCGACCGGATATGATGACTAATAGCCCTTATATTCTAGTAACTTTTGTCTATCTTAACTAAGGTATCCGGGCAAAGTCCGTCTCGGGACACACGGCGGTGGCCGGGCGGAAGTTTGCGAAGCCATCGCACCCGAGTCTTGGCACGGATCGGAGTCGGTGAGCTCGGCTGTCATCGTCCGGTCCGCTCCAGAAGCGATGCGTTGATTGCAATGCAACTTGCGCCAACCCATTCATTGTATGTATGTTACTACTCCGTTAATGTCCTACACACTCCTTTCTCCGTGTACGTCAACTTTGCCACATAAACACCTTCTAGTCATAGGAACGTCCAATGGTTACGATGCTGCAAAGTGTGCTACCCGGTGTAGACAAGGCTACTCTAAGTAGCCGCATGTGAAGAATGCTCTCGGGGAAGTTGTCCCGCCCGAGGAAGTTGTTAATCTAGACAACTTCGTATGTCAATGTTGAGTAGCATTGTGCGATGGCCGATGGCTCATGGGCTGGCCTTGACAGGAGATCGGTAGTGGCTGTGGTGTTTGAATTGTATTCTCCTAACATCGAGTGCCTCAGCTCTCGAGGAGCGACAATCCCCATGGAGCGGGGAGAGTGGTCCCACCAACATTCCAGATATTTTCGACCGGCTAGCGTGGCTCTGACTTCAAAGAGGGGGATGTCCCTCTAAAGGAGCTCACGCTATCATGCGTTGTCATAATTGGTAGCGATTTGATGGTTTGGTTCTGTGTACACCATGGTACACAAGCCCTGTCCGGTTAGGCTGGTATCGTGGAGTTGCCGGTTAGCCGTTTCCACGCCTTGAGATCCCATTCTCTCCTGGCGCCTTTGAGATCGTCCACATTCAGGATGTCAACGCCCTCTTGTACGAGTACATCCCATACGTGGTTTCTGATGCTGATTGGCCATGCTGGGAGGTCCCAGTACCGGACCATCAAGCCGCGGGAATGTGCCTCTTTGATTTGCGCTCTCAGTTTCGCCATTTGGCCCTTTGATAGGTCACCAAACCAAACGGTGCCGAGCGCCTTCTTGAAGGATACGCTCGTGTAGAAGGAATTGGTCAGATCGAAGTTATGACGGTCCAGGTTCAGGAGGGGAGCGTCGAAGAATGTGTCCCTGTAGGTTGAATTTTCGACGACCATATCGAAAGGAGTGTTGCCAGTCCCGACGACGGTGATAGGCCCATAGTGGACTTTGCCATCGATGACTTTGCTCAGCCAGCCTCGCTCTCGCAAGGGCTCCAACTGACGAACCACCTCCGGCCAGGTCTCCGGGCCGCTCGTCTTCAAATCCACCAAAAGGACCATGGTTTGATCCGGGCTTGCCTCATAAATGCCCCGAGGTGATTCCTGTGTGATGTTTCCAAGATCCGCATTCCGTTCCTCAAGCAGACGAACGAGGGGGTCTATGTAGAGACTTGTGAAGGTGTTTTTCTGACGCAGAGACCACTTGTTATGGCCAACGAATAATTCGGTGTCCATGAGCCACACGTCTGCCTCAATGCCAATGCATCCTGCCTGGAGAGCGTCGTAGATGGGCCTTTTCCTCCAGTAATCATTATGAGAGTGGCATGGAATTGGCTCAACGATGCTCGCGCTCTCAAACTGCTCGGATGCAGTATCCCAGACCTCGCGGGCTACGAATAGGACCAGGTTGAGGAGGACAAATATCAAGCTGAGATTCAAAGTTAGCCGGAGAATTAAATCTTGCGCCGTTCGCAACACTTACAGCATCGCCAACCAAACAGCGCCGCACATGATGAAGGAACGTTTCCGTGTCCATGGTTTCGGTATCATGTACGCAGGAGGAAGTAAGCCATCTTCGGAAGTGAAGCTCTCAGCTGGTGTTGGCGGGACTTCGATTTCGCTTTCACTTGCGGCGTCTGCTTCCTCGGGAGAGTCTCTGTAACGAGGTATCGTGCTGCTGTTTCGGGACCAGAATTGACGGAATCGATCACGCACTGCGTCGATGCTTGCGCTCTTTGTGGTAGACATTTTGAATAGGTCTTTTGCTCTGGCTGGTACGATCAGACAATGGTTGGCTACCTTAGGTTGGAGACCGAGACGCCTGCTCAGAGGGAAGACAAGAGGAAGAGGCCGTCGGATGGTAGCTCTTTATCTCTAAAGCATATCGTGGTAAAGGATGAGGGTTCGTAGGCTGCAAGTCTGGGCTGCGGCAGTGCTATTGTACAGCAAGCCGTTCTCCAAGTTCGTCAGGCAGGCTGTACAGTACTTCGAGGTAGGAGGCCAGATAAGTATGTAGTATGAGGTACTGGCAGTGGTCTAAGGTACACAAAGAGGACAGCAACAAAGGCAAGAGCGAATAAGTCTGGACGTTTGCGGACGAGGCAAAGAGTGAAGAACTGCGGGAGAGAGACACCAAATATAGCGGGATCTAATAGAGTGGCTGTTGGCTTGGCTTGCTGCCTGCTTTAAGAGGGGGACATTGGAGCTAAAGATCACCGCAAGGTAAGGTAGGTAATAAAGTCGGGTACCTCAGGGCGAGGTAAGGACAGGGCGGAATGGGGTAGGGATATAAAGGTTAAAACGGCAAGTAGATCCGAGCATGGTTAGGGATGGATGCTGGGGTAGGGACGGCGGTTGAGAACAGACTTTGGGAAGAGCTGAGAGGGTCTGAGAGCATGATGGAGAGACAGTGAGGCACATAGGAAAGTCGGAAGAACGGGGGTCAGGGGAAGGAGGAGAATGAGAGAGAGTCAGTGAGCTGAATGAGGCGTGAGTGAGCAAGAGAGAGAGAAAACGGACAAGACGCCGTGCTATGGATGGGACACGGGTCTAGTGTCTGGCATATGGTTCCAGAAGATGTGATGTCTCCAGTTGTGTGTGAGCACGAGTGTGTGTGTGTGTGTGTGTGTGTGTGTGTGTGTGTGTGTGTGTGTGTGTGTGTGTGTGTGAATGACTGGGTGGTTCATGAGCAGTAGCATCTACGGCGGCAGCAGCAACAATGCAGCAGTAGCGGTACATGGATTCCATGCTAGACACTACAAGCTAAGGTACTTGGCTGGGGAGAAAGGGGACTAATGCTAGTCAGTAGGCGGCGTATTCAAGCATTTCCAAGTCATCCATGTCCTGTCCTGTCCCACGTCCGTAAAAGGGACTAAGACTAAGAAAGTCTATCAGGAGCTTAGCTAGCCCCAAGACGGTGGGGGGCGCGGGACCCGAGGGAGTGTTTCTGGCGCCTGTTTTGTTTGTGTTTGTTACCCTGGCGAAGGGGGGGTATTGGTTCAGGTCCAGGGTCAATCAGTGTAACGAAGAGGAATTGTGATCACGGACTTCAGGGACAACGGTATCTGAATGTGTGGATCGTCTTGGCCAGGCAGCAGAGATATGTATCGTGTCATGTCGGTGGTTGTATGCACGGTCAGAGGCCACGAAGCAAGGATAGTCATTTATTATGTCCACGACGAGTGACGACGACAGCCATGCCACGGAGAATAGACAGGGCAAGAAAGTGAGGCCAAGAAAAAGCGAGAGAGTGTGTGGGTGAGTGAGTGAGTGAGAGTGAGAGACTATTCTCAGGTCTGGGGTCAAGTGTCGAATGTTGACCATGGAAGTAGCGTGTCGAGGTAGCGCATGGGCGATGACTCTGTGACCAGTGGAAAGGCGCACCAAGGTCCCATTGTCGTTAGTCGCCAAACAAGAGGCCAACAACTAAGGTTATTCGGCATGCCTCTCTCAAACCAAACCTGTCGTGTCGGAATGCCTCAGTCGAATGGCGAAAGAGAGTCGACGAGGGTCTGGCCGACGGGAAAATCCCTGCCCTCTGGCGTTCCCGAGGTCCAGGTACCTTGTAGTTGCTTCCGGCCCCCTCCTGGAGCCTTTGTCCAGACCCTGAGACCCCTCATCCCAGCCGCTTTCCTCGACACTTCTTGCCTCTACAGACGAGGCACAAGGGAAACATGAGGTGCCAAGGAAAAGTCAGTGCGGAAGTTCAGAGAGTAATGAGGATGGAAAGCGCAAGAACGAGCTACTTGGAGATTGGTTGATTGGTGGAAGGCTTGGCACAGGAGACAGCAGCGACCCTCCAGCTGGAAGGAGCGAAAAAAGTATTTGGGGAAGAGAGCGAAGGGGTTCCGGCCATGGATCTCCAATCCAGTCCAGCAGCTGCGCCTTCTGCTACCAATACGAACATCTCAGTGGTCAATGACCGTCGTGCAAAGCTGTCCGCTGTGGCTAGGTACCAATGAACCTAAGGCAAGTAAGTACCTTGGTGGAGCACCTCAGCACCCAAGATACTTCTTTGATTATTCTCGTCTGGTGCGGAGGTACGAAGTATCTTGTATCTGTAGACTAAGGTAAGACAAGCGGCGTAGATACTTGCCTCCGTGGAGAAGTCATATTGCCCCGCCGTGGCATCTCCCCGCAGATGGATACATTGAAGGTTGAACTCAGTCGAGCAAGTCACAGGAACACCGCACGCCGCACCTCGCGAGAGTGAGACTGGACGGACGTTCGCTTCCTCAACGCTGAGATGGTCCGTGCTAAGCCTGTACCGGCTTAGAGACGGCGTGCTCCATGTTATGGGCCTCACTCCCGTCCCTCACCTGGGCTCTCAAATCCCTCCCCTCCCATCCATGCCAACGTCCCTCCTGCTCGCTTTCTCTTTCTGCCTCTCATTTGGCCTGTCGCCTCGACCTACTTACCAACAAGAGTCTCGCGCCTTTCACTTGCAAGCCATACTCTTCCAGGCACGTGGCGCAGCTGATAGGCGGATTAACTTCCATTCAAGCAACCATGAGAAACCAACTAGTGACATTAAATCCCTCTCGCACTCCAGGTCTCTACGGTGTACTATCTATGTCACGCGCATCATGCATACCTTAATTCACTTAGGTAGAGAACCGGCCCCCAGTGCCGTTCCCGAGAGGTTCCTACCTATGAGCGGTCTGAGGAGTCTGCGCTCGTCCTAGACTGGACCAGATTCCACTATCTACCTAGGTCACCACCTTAGGTATCCCCACAAGATCCTGGCCCTCAACCAACCTTCAGGACCAGCCCAGAACAACCTATTACAAATGCCCTCGTTTCCTCGTGGGCCACCGTGGTTCATGCCATCTCACCAACCTGCCAACCAAGGTACATATGGATTTTCCTCCAAGGTAGGGCAGCGTAGTGCGCGTGGGTGGCTTCTCGCGTGCTTGTTCGTGTACGGATAAGAACTTTGGCCACCGCACCTCGAGCCGAAGTCAAGGCGTTTTGGCCAAGTCTAGCTGCGATCTATCAGTACTCCGTACCTCAGCCACACAACATAGGTACACGCTCGTGTTGGCCATTGCGCTCATCGCGGGATCGCCCCAGAGCGTGACTGATCGGGACATTTCCATGGGTCGCGCGGACGGCGGCACGTCCGAGCCTCCGTTTCCCGCCCAAAACCAGAAACACCATCCATCCATCAGCCATGCCCGCACGGAGTGTTTCTGGCTTGACCTTGATCATGGGCTGGCTGACTGACTGACTGATGAACACCCACCCGTGCCGACATCAACCCGGAAAAAAGCAATGGAAAAAAGCATTTGGTACATAGCTCAGCGCGACCGTCTACGTACGCAATTCATCAGCAGTCGATACTGAGACACGTCCGAAAACGACTGAAAGTGTCACATAATCAGACGGTTAGTGATTGACTTTGTTCTCCTCACTCAACCACACCTCGACAACTCCCACACGCGAAACACGCTCTTCTCCGAGTCTGAAGTCTGAAGTCTGAATCCTAGAGTCCGTCCGGCCTGCTCTGTGGGACGGACTCGGGTGCAAATACCTCACCTCGTTTTCCCAGAGTTTCTTTCGCCAACTTGGGACGTAGCAGTTGTGCCATCCACCTTGCAATTACCGCCTCATGTTGATCTAGTCTCTGGCATAGCACGTCTTCGTCCCCTTCCGCCACCAATTGCCCGGTCATGGCGCCGTCTCCGTGACCGCTGCGCTTCTCCGTTAACATGAGGCGGTCATCACTGTGGCATCATCCATCCAGGCGGCAACGAAGGAGGGACATTGTGCATGCATGCCCATGCGTGTGACAAGCCTGGTTCTCATCAAAGGGGATGTTCTAGTGTCCTTCTCAGAAGAATCGCGCTCAATTGACAAACATGACCATCTTACTGGAGAAAACAAGCTTTTCATTTCAACGTGCTTCGGCTTAGATGCCGGCTCCAGGTCCCACCATCCTTCTGAGTCGCTTATTTGGTATATGTGGTGAGCTCCGCACCACGATTTCTCCGTGGGTAAGGTGATCGTTGATATTGGCATAGGCATTGCCCTGTTGGTTGTCTGAGTCTCCCGAGAATGACTGACAACGACTTACTTGGCAAGAAAAACAAACCAAAAACCAATTTAGAGATGATCAGCGAAGCATGCAGCGCGGGTACCTAAACCTCAAGCAAAGTTTTGTGCCTATGACCGGGTGAAGCCAGCCCATGTGCTACAGAACTGTCATTGATCAGGTGCCAAGATGCCAGATTGTGGGATTCCCGCGTGTGATCTGTCCAAGGTGGATCGGCCCTAGGGGCTTTCCGACGTGGAGACCCCTGCAGATGCATTGCGATACGTACATCCACTGGCACGACAGGGAGCTGGTTTCATGAGGTGGAGCGGGGGTACCCCCCAAAAAACGGCCTCACTCCTTATCGGACGTCCACTTCTTATCGTGGCTGACATAATACAAAATTTTCCATCACTCCCCGAGCCCATGTATCATCCCGCCTCACCTGCAATCACGAAACCTTGAAGCAGAGGGGGACGTGTTTCTGTACTGAATCGCTCAACGACTCACTCATTGAAGTCAGTCGCAATGCCTCACAAACATACCAGGAGGGAACAGGACCCCTCAGCGTAAGTTCTGATCGCCTGGGATGCCGTCATGGCCTACACTAACCGGCTTCGTGCAGATTTGATCTCCCCCCATCACAAATCGCGAGGCCGCTTCCCGTTCAATTGCGAAGTCGAAAAGCTCTAGCCAACAATGCAAAGAACGCCAAGAATGGCAAGAATGGAAAGAGCCAAAAGACAGAGAATGATGGCGTCTCCAAGAAGAGAAAAGGTCGCAGCAATGATGACGATGCTCCGAGAGCTTTCAAGCGCATCATGTCGTTGGCGTCGGGCAGGAGACAACGATCTGGCCTAGATAACGGCGAGACGGTGGCCCAAAAAAAGAAGGCAGCTAAGAGAGCTGCGGCAGCCGCGCAGAGCGAGACCAAGGTTGAGGAGACTGCGAAGCCCGAGATGCCCACGATCCGGCCGGGCGAAAAGATGTCCGATTTCGCTGCCCGCGTCAACGCAGCCCTGCCTCTGGCGAACCTTGTCAACAAGACCGAGAGGGGCGGGAAAGATCCTCTTGGTCTCAAGACCGTCAGGACGCGGAAGGAGAAGAAGATGCACAAGCTGTACGACCAGTGGCGTGAGGAAGAGCGCAAGATTCAAGAGAAGAGAGAAGAGGAGCTCGAGGAAATCGCCGAACGCGAGCTAGACGAAGAGATCAACGGCGGTACCTTTGGTAACTTCGGACAGACCTCAAAGGCCTTCTACGAACCTGGGCAGGACAAGAAGAAGGGCAAAAGGGGGAAGAAGAACAAGGGCGCAGACCGCGAAGAAGATCCTTGGGCGGTGCTCAAGAAGATGCGTGCCGAGGCCAAAGTAGGGCTCCATGATGTCGCGCAGGCTCCGCCAGAGCTTCACAAGGCCGGCAAAGACAGGCTACTGGTCCGTGGTGCGGCCGTTGATGTCTCTAACGTGCCAAAGTCCGCTGGTAGCCTGAGAAGACGTGAAGAGCTCCAGGAAACCAGAGAGGCATTCCTTCTGGCTTACAGGAAACAGCAGGAGGAAAAGTTGGCTAAGCTTGCCGCTGCGAAATCTCGAGATACCCAGAACTAGTAGTAATGAAAGCCTGTCTTTGAAGATGCGGATGCAAAGCTCACCCGAACCAGTGTGATTTAATTTTCGATCTCATACCTTGTCTGCTTAAGATGTGACATGAGACGAGATATCCAGTCTATAACCTCCGGCCCCCTTGTCCCTTGTCCAAGAACTTAGGTATGGCCAAATTACGGACTACGTCTGTGCGGATCAGGTATTATGTAATGATCACGTGCCGTCAGAGTCATAGTGGCTCTTTCTTCGTCCACAGCCACCACAGCCACCTGGACGGTGCTGTAAGGTACCCAAGGCAAGGTAGCCCACCGTGGCGGGCACGGCGGGGTTCCCGAGGCGGCCAGACTCCAGCGGTTTCCTTCCCCTCCACTACCCACATCTCTGGCCGACTCAAACGTAGCGGGGGAAAACCAACCAGAATCTGGAAGGAATTTTCGACCAACCGCATACGCCAACCCAGGGATCTTGGGTTCGATTTTCCATCGTCGACCTTCGCCGTCAATATTCGCATGACTTTTTCTATGCGACTTTCGTTCACCTGAGAATGTCAAACCCCCAAAAGGAGGTACAATGTCCCGCGACCTCGAGCGACTGATAGAGTCTGTCATCACTGACATCTCATGTTATGGTGACTTGGGTGAGTGAATCTGCCCTTCACGCTTCATGAGAACGAGGACTCTCGACTTCTTGTCCATCACTTCCAAATTATCATTCTACTCTCAGTTTGCGCAATTACACTGAGATGGCTGGCATTTGACTGTGCCCCCCACCACCAGTCGTGCGTTCAGCGAGGAAATTTGACTTGAATACTTTCTAGTTGGCGCATCTTACTGACAAGCGATTAATAGGATGCACTGTACTACATGTACTCGATTCACTCGGCACTTTTTACAAGGACACCCGACCCAGGCAAGATGCACCAGCAGAACCCTCTCAGCCAACAGGCGCGGAATCCAACCAGTTACTGTGGTCTACGGCCTGGGACTGGCTGAGAGTGAGGAAGGACGTCTCTGTGGGACCGAATAGAAAGTGGAATCATGTACCTCTGGTTGACATCCTTGCCTTGCCGGATCCAGACTCTCAGGGTGGAAAAGCAGCTCCCAGCACCTCAGAAGGTGCCGCAGAAGAAGAAGGTCCAAATGACCCTGAACCCAAAGACCTCGTCAAGTCGGCGCCGAAGACCCTGGGCCTTCGAAAGCGGCCTCGTATATACGTCTCTGAGGATCGCATGTGGGAATCCATTGCTGGACATGCGCCCGACTACCGAAGGGTCCCGAGACTGGAGTGGATGGCCTTGGTCGGTATCGCCTCCACTAAGCAGCAGGGTATCTTGCAAGGCGATTTAGGTCGGCTTGTTGGCCAAGACAAACGCTCATTGCCCAAAAGAACAGATGCTTTGGCAGAAAAGGGATATATTTCGAAACGAACGACGCTCGTCAGGGGAACCAAGACCAGCAAAATGTGGTTGACGCGCTTCGCACCAGCTCTTCCAATCGATCCCCTGAAAGCAACCGCAAGCCTGCACACGACTGTTGATATGTCCAGAAGCGCCCTGGCGTGCGACTTAGAGCCTGTCTCGTGGCGTGGCAGGTGGAATGGGGAATCGGTGGACTACATCTCTCTAGCCCAGACGATCATGGCCATTGTGAAGGCCTTTGGGATCATCAGATATCATGATCTACGATGCAAACTGGGCATTTTGGGTCTGAGATGGCAGATGAAAGTTGCAGCCAAGACGTGTCGATTCTTTGTCCAGACTGGTGCCATCCAGTATGTTGGCGCCACTTTGTCTGGGAAACTTTTCAAGGACTGCCTCAAATTCGACCACGATCTTACGCACGAGGACTGGGCTGCCTATCTTGCTACGGGGAAGCAAAAAAGTATACAGTCTTATCACAGCCTCAACGGTGGAGATCTTGGATCTGATCCGGCAAGCAAGACCGCCAACATGGACAGCCCAAGCCCGGAGACTGAACATGGTCGTGCTCTCAACAGAAGACGAATGAATCCACGCTCCAGCTGGATAGCCGACAAACCCCTAACCACGACAATCTTCGACAACATTTCTGCTGCAGGCTCCGCGGGTCTGTCGAACAAGCAGTTAGGAGACTTGACTCTGGGGCCATCTTTTCGGCGGTATATATCCTCCATTTCCTCAACAATCTCTCTCCCGACACAGCAGCCCATGCATCTCAGGCACTTTCAGGTATCGAGTGAGATGCACCGAAAAGGCAAATCTCAGCAATATCGCTATTTTGCACTCAGTGCCCAGCAAGGAGATGCCGCCGCTGCTAAAAAGAATCTCACTGGACAGATGGATGATGATCATTCTCTGGCTGACGGGATCCGTGGAAAGACGCTGGTTGGCCACTTTACAGATCCCACAGTGCCCCCTGACCCGTCCTATACTGCCATTGGCTTGACTGCTCTTGCTCGAGTTTTTGGCAAGGCACTCAATGCCATCACTAAGAGGAAGGCCGAAGCTTCGGATACTCTGCGAGTCAACGGGGCTCAAGAAGCAGGACGACTGCGTCAAGCAAAGCGAAGAAGGCTTCTGGAGCAGACGGGCGAAGATTCTTCTGAAGACG